TTTTTTCTTTTTGTAAAGTATTACTATTAATTTTTAAAGTTTGAATAATTGTAATTAGTTATATCAAATATATCAGTGTAGTATTAGTTTTAAAAATATTGACAAAACTCCTATCTATGTACATTGTACTACAAAAGATGTTATGAGTTAATAAATAATTTGAATTTGAATTTTAAAATGGCCAAAGAGTGTACTTTACAACGGAGAATGTATAGTACAACAACCAAACAGGCTGCCATTGACACCACTGATCAGCTTCTTTGAAATTTGCCTGAATGATGAATTTGCTCGAACTTAGCTATACTCCAGAATGCCAAGATATTTTACCTGGAATCAATCGACAAAGAAATTTCAACTAGGTTAACAAGGAAAGCCAGTTCCAGGTTATCCACAAGTATTTTCCACTGATGCACTAGAACGTCTTTATACAGCCCATCCCAGCCAAGACGAGTGTTTTTATTTGAGTTTATTATTAGTCAATGTTCGTGGCCCAACATCATTCCAATATCTACGTACTGTTAATGGTATGTTGTGCGTCACATATAATAGAGAAGAACGTTTGGGATTGCTAGAGAATGACACTCATTGAGACATGCTCGAAAATGGAGTGATTTCGTCAAGTGCTAAACAAATACAGACATTGTTTTCTACAATTTTGTCTACATGCTTCCCATCAAACCCGATTGATTTATGGAACAATCAATTATAAGGATCATATGGCTGAAGATATATTGTATCAGATGCGACTTAGAACATCTAATGAAGTCTTGCAAATGAACGAAGAAATTCATAATGAAGCATTAATTTTGATTGAGGACATGTGCTTGATGATTGCCAAAAAAATATTAGTACAATTGAGAATGACAACACCCAATCCACGATGCCCCGTGCGGTACCGGGTTAGAATAGCACCGCAGCCTTCTCGGGCTTGTCGTAAGAGGCAACTATAAGGGTGACCGACGAACTCACTGGGAGTCCCTGGGAGTGCCCCTGTTGTGTTGCAGGGGTTGATGTGTGCTCTGCACTGCCGATGGGTATTCTTAGTGGGTCGTGAGAAGCCAGCCACTTCGGTCCTTGGTCAGGGAGTGCGGCATGGATGAAGAGGTCGGGCTCCGCATTGCGACGGGCGACCCCCGGTTTTTGTCCCCGAGGATATACCCGTTCCTGACTGATTCCGGGCCGCTCCTTGCCGCACGATGCGCTGGAATAAACACGATGGCTTTAAATAAAACCCCTCAAAACCATTTTTGATCAAGAGCTCAAATGAGCCAGAAAAGACGTTGGAAGTGGAGCGGAACGCTTTTGTCCGTAGCTCCAAAGTTCAGCGGTCGCCACCACCGAAAAACGTGAGGACATCTCCCCCACCTGCCACCTTCAAATGCACTAAGGAGTTCCCCCATTTAGGAGCTCCTTCGTCAAGTGGAGCTGGGAACGGTGCGGAAAACGTCGGAGATGCAGGTGTCGAGCTGGCGTTGCCAGCAACTACCCTGGCGATCAGTTCTGTTGTAGGGATGCCTGAGGAGCCATTCGCAGCACCGTTGAGGTCGGAAGGCTCTGAGATGGTGCTTCTGCGTCAGGAATATCTTGACGCAGAGAGTGACATTGGAACCCGGCTCCAAGACATGGAAGCTACGATCAATGCTATGCTGGACACCTTCCAGACCCAGAGAGCCATAAATAAAGTGGTCAAAAACGGCATGGCCAAACTGGAGGATGACCTTGGCTTCGTTTTTGCCTGCCGGGTGGTGAGCAAGGCAGCCATGGAGAAGATTGCCGAGAAGGTTGTGTCTCTGTCTGACGAAAGAACACTGCCTTCTAAGAAACGTAAAAGGCCTTCCACATCGGACAGTCCTCAAAAAAGAGAAGAAGGCATCCAGACCAAAAGGACCACGGTAAAGGCCAAAGCGGCTCAGACGGACCTATTGTCTGCTGTGCCCAGATCCTTTTCGGACATAGCTGCAGCTCCTGTAAAGAACCAACAGCCACAGCACGATCCCCCTTCAGGGAAGTTCCCGAAAGGGGTCAGTTGTAGAGACACCTGGGGCTGCGTGGGAAAAACGCCGTTCCCGAAAGGAGAAGAGGCAATCGAGGCAGAGGTCGCCTCTATAAAGAATGTGGCAGTGAAGGCACAGCCGACCGGCGTGGCCCAAACTGGGCCCGGCTCGGTCTCTGCTCCAAAAAAGTCCCGGCCAAAAAAGCCCAGGACAGAGGCAATCCTGGTCAAGCCCTCAGGGGGGAGATCTTTTGCCGAGGTCTTGGGTGCAATTAAGGCCAAGGCTAAGCCAGAGCAGACCGATACGGTTGTACAGTCGTATAGACGAACCCGGGATGGGGACGTTCTCCTTGAACTGGGTAAGTCGAAAGACAAAGCAGCCTTTACTGCCGAACTCAAGGCAGCTGTTGAAGGCCAGGGCTCCGTCCATGCTCTTGAACCAAAGACATCAGTCAAAGTTCGAGACATTGATTGTATGTCGACGGAGGTTGATGTTGTTGAGGCCCTGAAGAAAGCTGTCCCCGAGCTTGGCGGGCAAACGGCTTTTCTTAAGGTGTGGCTCACAAAACCGAATAGGAGTCAGCAGCGGATGGCGGTCGCCGAAATGGCAGACGCACATGCCACTAAGCTGCTGGAACTCCAGCATCTGAGAGTCGGCTGGGTCAACTGCAGGCTCAGACGGAGAGTGGAAGTGAAGAGGTGTTTTAAATGCCTCTGTTTCGGCCATTCCTCCCGAAACTGCAAGGGACCCGACCGAAGCAAGAACTGCCTTCGGTGCGGGGAGGTCGGTCACGTCCGTAAGGACTGCCAAGTCGAGTCCTGTTTCCTTTGCAAAGAAAATGGGCTCGCTGACAAACACTTGAAGCATATAGCTGGGTCTGGACAGTGTAGTGTATTCAAATCTGCACTACAGCAAGCGAAAGCACTTTCACGAAGATAAGAATCCTTCAGTGCAATCTTGAGCGATCCAGGTCGGCTGACCCACTTCTATGTCAGCTTGCCCTAGAACACGATGTCGACGCGCTCTTAGTCAGCGAACAGTACCAGTACCGTGATAGGGACCCATCTTTTTGGTTCCCTGATAGTCTTGGTACTGCTGCATTCTGGGCGCGTAATGCAGCGAAAGTGCAAGTACGGGGTCACCCGAAGGGCCGAGGTTTCATTTGGGTTCGGTGCCGGGGTGTCACTTACTTTAGTGTCTACCTCACTCCCAACGAGGCCATCCGTGAATTTCGTGAGAAGATAGACCGCTGGAAGACAGCGTGTGCAATACCACAGGACATGTTGTCGTGGGTGGGGATTTTAATGCTAGGGCTGTCGAGTGGGGAATGACCCTCACCAATTCCCGGGGCAAGTACATTCTGGACTTTGCTGCCAGAGCCGGACTTGTTGTCGTCAACGAGGGAAACACGCCAACTTTCCGACGCCCTGGGATGCGGGGAACAATCCCAGACATAACCCTTGCATCTGAGTCCCTTTTGCCAAGGATCAGAGCCTGGAGAGTCCTGGAGGATTACACGGGCAGTGACCACCAGTACATTATTTTTGATGACCTGGATGGTCATCAGAGACAAGTAGCCGCGTTTCGTCAAGTGCCCGTTCGATGGAATATTAAAAAATTGGACGTGGCAAAATTCAATGAAGCCATCTTACGAGGAACACCGGTGGTTCCCCCCGTAACTAGCGTGGCTCACGCAGAGGCGTTAGTTACAAACATGATGGGACTGATACTTAGATCCCGGTGCAATAAGCAACCTGTGTACTGGTTGTCTGCCGAGATTGCGGACCAGAAGACTTGCTACCAGGGCCAGAGAACCTGTAGACAGACGTCGTAAGTCGGATGCTTACAGAGTGGCTAGGAGGTCTCTTTGTCGAGCCATCAACCGGGTAAACATTAACATGCAAGTAGAATTGCAGAACAACTAATCTGGAGAAGTTTTTTCCAAACAATTGCTCGTAATTGAAAATAGTGAAATATCTGTTAACCATCCCCTGGATACATTACATTCCCTGCCAATTTTACAAATTCAACAAACAAACTAATTGAGGTGGTGTTCCCAAACATGGCTCAAAATTGATGTATAGATAAGATTTGATAAGTTTTGTTTTAATAAGATACCGGTAGTTATTTAAAAATAACCCCGCCGCAGCAAGCCTGCAGACTAAGCAAATTTCCATTTACCTGGCTGGATTTCTACCAAAACATTTCATAAAAATTGTCACATTTATTTCCTATCTAAATAACATTAATTTTAGTGAGTACAAAGGTTTGCTGCTACATGTAAGATATAGAGGTGTGTTTTTTTTATTGCAATGTTGATAGCTTAGTATGAAATAAACAAAAATTGGTTAATATATATTCATAAACAAGTAAACTACAAGAGTTTATTTATTTTCCATAAGAATAACATGGGAATTTTAAATTTATAATTTTTTTTTATTATCCCCGTAACCAATATATATTATATATTAATATATATATTAATATTTCTAATTTCTACATTGTCTTGTAATGGGAAAATATGGTAACTATTCAAAGTATCTGGTAAGTCAAGAAATTAGAGCTGTTGTATTGTAAATCCTTTGTTACTGTACCATAGACAACTTGTAAAGAAAAAGATACTAATTGTAAAACCTATTTGGTTTTACGTCTAGTTCTGTGGTGCTTGATTTGTAGAACATAAAAAGCTAGAAACCTCTCTTTTCCTCTCTCTGCACCCTATATGCAAAATATGGGAGATGCTTTTTCATACATACACCACGACCACATATTTTGAATACTGAAAAATTGAATCGAATACTTTATTAAACTCAATTTTGGTAATAAGAGCAACTGAAATCAGTAAATAATAGTATAGCATACAGTAGTTGGTTTTTGCTTTGCAAATTTGTTCAATTGTATTTAACTTTCTTGAGACAGAGGCCATGGAAGACAATTCCATTGTGCTCACAATAAAATTAAGACCTGATGGATTAATGTTCTTTAATTGGCTTTAATGAATTTCAGTTTAAATGTTGCGGGATTGAAGGAAAGGAAGATTGGAAATATGCCCCGTCTTCATGCTGCAATGCTACATCACAACAAGGGAAGGTAATTTTATAATCTTGATTGTTGTAAACGTGGCACAATATTGTGTTTACAAAATACTAGTTGTTCTGCTCGTGCCTCTGCACGGGAACAGAACGCAGAAAAGATAGTGGCGATTCTTCGCTGCTTTGTCCAATAAAAACTGCTGATTGAGTAAGCGCTTGTTCTTGATGTAAATTAATATGATCAATGTCCAAGTCACAAGGAAAAATACTCTACAGTTGTGTTTTTCCCAGTTAAAACACATAAGGCTCTGAGCAAACTCAATAGTTCTTGTGTCCCTTAATTATATAAACAACATTTGTTTGCAACATCAATTGCTGTGTTTTAAATATATATAAAACTGTACTAAGGCCTACCATACACGTTCCGGTTTTCCTTCAGCCCCGGACTGTACAGTCCTGGACTGAAGGAAAAACTGAACGTGTGTGTCGATTCCTTCAGGCAGATCGTTGGCCGGACGGCCGGATGGGAAACACATCCGGCCAGGCCTCAAGGCCGCCGGCCTTGACACCGAATTGAACGTGTATGGCAAATCCCGCAGTCCAAGACAGTGCTGCTTCCCCCCACCCACCACATTTTCAGCATTATCGCATGTGCATGTGACTTATTTACTTCAATAAGCAAAGTATACTTATAAGTATACCACAAAAGGTACACGAGGGAAGCAGCTTATAAAGAGTTATTAGATTTATGAACAAATCTGACACAAAAGGAACAAAGGACACTGTGGTGAAAAAATAAACAACTTACGGAGTGCATTTAGAAAAGAGTTAAAAAAGTAAAACCTTCACAAAAGTGGTACTTCAGTGAGCTTAACTTCCTATTAGACCAAGAGGAGGCAAGGCGACTCCTGCCAAACTGTGCAGTTCCGGACTGAGCGTGTGTGGGGAGGTCACGACTCCGGCCAAACTGTGCAGTTCCGGCCTCAAGGCTCGGCCTTCAGTCCGGGATGGAACGTGTATGGTAGGCCTAATAAGTAAACAATTTGAACAGAATTCAAAGGTTTGATTACTATCCTATAAAGAAAAACGTACTGTAATTTCTCTTGATGCAATTTAGACATTATGGTAGAATCAAAAGGTTAACTCAAGGAAAAGTAAATAAACAAACTAAAACAAAAATCAATCTAACAGCTGATGCATCTCCAATATCTTAAATGTAATTTGATACAGACTTTTAATTGAGACTAGTGGTCGTCCAGTGGTCGAAAATTTGACCCAAAGATCAAAACATCCAATGTTCTTGTATTGACTTTAGGATACTGAATTAGACATCCCATCTATATGGACCAGCTGTTGCAATTTTTTTTTAACATAGTTCTGTAAGCAGTCACCGAATGCATGTCTTAAATTCTAGGCCTATTTTCTACCTTATTTTTTGTTACGGACAAAGTTGATGGGTCATAACAGTTGCTATTGCTCATAATAAGTCATTCCATAAGTTTGACTTCGTAAGAAACATTGTGTATTCGACAGAAATAAGTCATTTAGATCAGCACAATCTGTTGGTGGCTCACATCAACTACGATGAATTTAATAAAAAAAAAAACTGGTGACAACTTTAACATGGGAATGGAATGTAAAGATACAGGCTAGCCTGTACCTTTAAAAAGCTTCTCTATTTTCACCCCACGCTGTAAGTAAAATATGTGATCGTAATTTCTTCCATTTGTTTTGATTTTATGTTTATATTTTGTTGTTATTTCGTCGCCAACATGGCAACGCATAAAGCCCATGTTAATTTTTTTGAATTTCAAATCCATTTTTGTGCTTATATTTGAGCCTATTTTAATTTTTAAGGGATTCTGCACTTCTACAGGAAAATATCTTTCTAACGGTATGCGTGGATTTTCCCTGCGATGCACACGAGCTGAGAAAAAAGGTTTTAAAGAAACATGCTTGCCTATTAATGTATAGACGAGAGGTCGTCCAGTGGTCGAAACTCGACCATAAATATGTAATGTAAACTTACTCACTTCTCTATTTTCACCCCACACTGTAAATAAAACATGTGATTGGAGTTTCTTCCATTTGTTTTGATTTTATGTTTATATTTCGTTGTTATTTCGTCACCAGCATGGCAACGCATAAGATCCATGTTAATTTTTTCAAATTTTTAAACTCATTTTTTGTGCTTATCTTTGAGCCTATTTAAATTTATAAAGGGATTCTGCACACCTACAGGAAAGTAGCTTTCTAACGGTATGCGTAGATTTACCCCACGATGCACACGAGCTGAGAAAAAAGGTTTTAAAGAAACATGCTTGCCTATTAATATATAGATAGAAGATAGATTCCTACTCTTAGGCAAGGCCCCACTAGAAAAACAGGCCTTGCTGCAGCACAGACAGCGCAACACTACGTCACTACGGATAGTTGTACTAAACTCTTACCATTAAAATCTTACAAAGAGCCAGCTATGACTTATTTGCCTAAAACATATAGGAATGACAATGGCAATGAATTTATCAATGGAATCTATCCACTAGTGTGACGTCATGGATCCTGCAGCATGGCCTGTTTTTCTAGTGAGGCCTTGCCTTAGGAGAGAGTTTATTAAAAAACTGATATTTTTGGGGCAGTTTCACATCAAGACCTTTCATTCAATTATGCGGTTGATAGGTGTGCGTCTTATGGTTTTCTCAAAAGTTGAAACCCATCCTAGCTTTATATAATATAGATAGATGTTAGGTTTATAATTATTTAGATTGAAACTTCTGCAACATCCTAATACGCAAAAATATTAATTTTATTTCAGAAATTAGGCTTAGCTATTAGCGAATTTCCCTATAGGGAAGTAGCTATTACCGTCGGTCTCATGGTAAGACCTAAGCCTGGGACCGATTTCCTTTTTCATTTTGATGTTCCCAGAGGCCAAAAACACCATTCGTTCAAATTTTTCTATATCTATATATAGAGAGAGATATATATATATATATGTGTCCATCCGCACGATAACTTGAGTAATTTTTGTCCGATTTTGATAAAATTTGGTTTGAAGGTGTAAGGCGGGATAAACTTGAATGAGTTCGCGAACCAGCATGATTGGACTATGGGAACGTGGGTTTATGGGGGGTTTTATGGGGTAAAAATAGGTCTTTCCCATTTTTGACCCTAAAAACACAAAATTTCACAATTTCTTTTTAAACCATTTTGTAGAGCTTAAAAAACAAATAATTTAGTACAGTATATTGAAGCGTTACTATGCGCCTAATTGTAACGGAGAAAATTCAAAAAAATTGTAATTTTAAAATTCCCATGTTATTTTTATGGAGAATAAGTCAACTGTTGTAGTTTGCTTATTTATGAACATTTTTTTATCGATTTTGGAAAACACTTTTATTTCTTACTAAACTATTATCATTTTATAAAAAAAATCTTTTTTACCCTTCCTGTTGCAGCAAACCTAAGTACTCGTTAAACTAATTCTATTTAAATAGGAAATAAATGTGCTATTTTTATGGAGGCGTTTTAGTGTAAATCCAATCAGGTTAGTGGAAATTCGCTTAGTCTGCAGGTTTGCTGCGGCGGGGGTATTTTTTTAAATTAATGATCTTTTGTAATTGTGTAGAGTTGTAAGTTAAGCCATATTACACTTTTGAAGAAACTCCCTTGGAGGATCAAAATATCAAATTAATTTGGGTAGTGAACGTTTTTAGACTGCCTGGACTCTTTTCTTGGATAGTTGTGTACCTTTTCTTCCTTCCTTTATTACTCCTATTACCTGGGGACCGAGCTTTGCTCAGGGATAATCATTAGTTTACTCTGAAAGCAGTCTTAGTATTGCAGATACCTGAATCCATTCCCTACACTCCGCACTGCTAGCCTTTACTAATTCTTTCACCATTTCCTGTGTCGTGGACATGTTTCCCTCTCTTTCCATAGCATTTCAGTGTGGTATTGCAGATAGGCTTACATAATTCTAACTGCTACAAACTGTTTCCACTTCCCACACTCCACACTGCTCGCCTTTTCTACTTCCTTCACCCCTTCCTAAGTCGCGGACCTGTTTCCCTCCCATCCCATAGTATTTTAGGATTTCAGATACCTTAATATAATCGTCATGAACAGTTCCCACACTCCGGATAGCTCACCTTAACTACTTCCTTCACAACTTCCTACGTCTTGGACCTGTTTTGCTCCCCTCCCATAGCATTTTTGGATTGCAGATACTAAATCTAATCGTCATAAACAGTTCCCACACTCCGGACTGCTCACCTTGACTACTTCCTTCACCACTTCCTACGTCTCGGAACTGTTATCCTCCCTTCCATAGCATTTTAGGATTGCAGATACCTTAATGTAATCATCATAAACAGTCCCCACACACCGGACTGCTCACCATTACAACTTCTTTCACCACTTCCTACGTCACGGACCTGTTTCCCTCCCTTCCCACAGCATTTCAGGATTGCAGATACCTTAATCTAATCATCATTAACAGTTCCTACACCCCGGACTGCTCGCCTTTACGACTTCCTTCACTACCTCTTACGTCACGGACCTGTTTCCCTCCCTTCCCACGCCATTTTAGGATTGCAGATATCTTAATCTAATTGTCATTAACAGTTCCCACACTCCGGACTGCTCGCCTTTACTACTTCCTTCATCACTTGCTACGTCGCGGACCTGTATCCTTCCCTTCCCTTCGCGTCGCGCATCGATCAACCCATGGGAAATGTTTGTGACTCTTACGTGTGTATTCGTTTTTTATGTTTGTGTTCGTGTCCGTATTCGTATTTGTGTTCTCGTAGTTTAAATGTGATGAATTCGTATGAATGACAACTTTTGACCTCCTTTGACACCTGAAGAAAGCCCCCTGAGAGCTCAAACTGCAGTAGTGTAATACTACTCCAAGGATCACCTGACAGTTAAGGTATTTAAACCATTTTTAATTAACTAAAGTGATTCGGAGGCTAACATCATGAAATTTAAGGATTGCAGATACCTTAATATAATCTTCATAAACAGTTCCTACACTCCGGACAGCTCGCCTTTACTCCTTCCTTCACCACTTCCTACGCTGCGGACCTGTTTTCCTCCCTTCCCATAACATTTTTGGATTGCAGATACCTTAATCTAATCATCATAAACAGTTCCCACACTCCAGACTGCTCGCCTTTACTACTTCCTTCATCACTTCCTACGTCACGGACCTGTTTCCCTCCCTTCCCATAGCATTTTAGAGTTGTAGATACCTTAAATCGTCATAATTAGTTCCCACACTCCAGACTGCTCACCTTTACTACTTCCTTCATCACTTCCTACGTCACGGACCTGTTTTCCTCCCCATAGCATTTTTGGATTGCAGATACCGTAATCTAATCGTCATAAACAGATCCCACACTCCACACTGCTACCCTTGACTACAATGTATCGAGTAATTTTCAGTATAATCTTTGCTCAATAGTAACAACTGATGTTTTTCCTTTTGTACTGTATATTTTCTAGTATACTGTGGATAGACAACTTACAAGTCTTTTGTTTACTTGTTTACTTGTTTACTTGTCTTTTGTTGTCTTTTGTTTACTTGTCCTTGTTATTTAATTCAGCCAAGATGGTTACTTAGGAACCTATAAGACTAATTTAAATAAAATGTCACTTTCAGTTTCATTTTTCAACGTAATTAGATTTTTGTTGGCAGTTCGAACTGCAGTAAACTCGTTTTTAGGCCAGGAATAAACTATTTACAACATTTGAAGAAAATCGTCGGAGCCGTTTTCGAGATCTTGGTGCAAGCAAGCAAGCAATCATACATACAAGCAAACATTGCTCATATTAGAGTATAGGATAAGCCAAGTGATTTGGAATTCTAAATCATGCCTATTGTAAATTTTATCTAGAGGCTACATCAATGCCCTGTGATGTATCCTCTATTTACTAAACAAACATGTATATTTTAGCTCATACCCCTGCTATATGAACTGTAGTTACATAAAACACAACTATGATTTAAGAAAATAATTTTGAGTCTAAAACTAATTGTTACAAGGGTTAAAAAATTCAGCTTTTGATACTAGTAGAAGTCCAACTTCCAGCAAGTATGCTTGAGCATCTTAAATGTGAATGAATTCATGCCTAAAAGAAGTAGGAATTATTTCCTTGGAAGTTTTATGGTAATTGTTTAGAAAATTTAACTAGACAAATTTACATAATTCATCTACTACCCTGTGTACTAGGGATTTATGCTTAGGATAATAATGCTTAGTACAAATTCATCATGAGAGTTGCTTTAAATAAATGTTTGTAACACTCAGGGCTGCAGCTATATTTTTCTAGGAAGGAGGGCAAGTCCTTAATTTGCAGCCCCAGTCAATCTTAACATGAGGCACACAAACGTTTAAAAAAAACAGCCCAAGCGTTTAATGACATTTTTATATTACATTATTAAAAATGTAATAATTTTTAAGATTGGTATATTATTATGAAACCCCTAAAACCATGTAAGTACAATTTTTAAGTGAGCAAATAAAACAAATCATAATAACTAGGAGAAACCCGTCGAAATCGACGGTTAGGGGCCTTTTCGTTTATATTGGCGTACGGCTTCATTGGCAACAAATAATGCAAATAACATAGCAAAGTGGCATTTCCAAAAAGCAAAGAATATACTGAAAATTGGCTGTTACGTAAATATTGACTTTTAAATGCATTGTTAATGCATCTGATAAAGGTATTGTGTTATCTAGTTTAAAAGTAATATGGCCTTATTTCTGTCATTACAGTAGCTGCATAGTATTTACTCTTTGTGCCATTTTTACAGCCAAAATGTCATGTTATTTTCAATGATGCTACCAACCTAGTGGGCCACGGTCCGTAATATAGGCCACTGCAAATAATTTGTCAAAGATAGGTACCGGTACCATTCTAGGCAAGGTTTCTGTGTTTAAGGATGTTATTAGACATGATAAGAACTCAATGAACTTCTTCTACAGATAATTAATCTGTTGGAGAAATATAAGCCGAATTATAAATGCGAGTTTGGGCATTTTGTAACTGTATAAGTAAGTTACACAGTATTTTTAGGCTGCTGCTCATTCCACTTAAGAATATATTTTTTAGAGACAAATTAAATTGTTTTTGTTGCTGAGTAGCGATAGTTAACATGCAGAACCCTTTTTGTTAGTCCAATAACATTCAAAGGCTCTCTTAAAGTTGAAGTTCTTATTTGTATACATACCCTTATTATGTTTTTACTAAGCGGAATGAATACATCAAAGTAACCTCTCTGAAAAGTCTGCAGTAAATTGCAGTTTTCCAGTTTAATGACTTTTGAAATCATGCACATATTTCTACATAAATATTGTAAAATGTTTTATCCAGTTGCTGTACACTAATATTAATTTAACAAAATATGGACACGGCTCATATGGACAACGTGCCCTTCTGAACTTGTACTGTATTACACAATCAAAGACTTTTCCAATGATTGAAAACATCTATGACAATAATCTCATGAACCTATGATGATGTCTACAATAATATGATAAAATATAGGCAAAAGTGGTAATAAAGGCAGACACCAACCCTTACAATAGATATAAGATAGTTCAATAAGGAATAATTGTAAGAGTTACAATAAAATGATTGTCAACTGATTTCGTAATGGAACGTTATATTGCAAAACATGGCATGATACAGAAGAAAATCAATTTTAAAATCAGTAGCCTAAATAATAGTGTTGCAAATAGTTCTTTTGTACAATTCAATAACTCCCAATAAACGTGTGTTGTTTAAAATACAATTTAAGAATGAACAGCTGTTTAATTCAAAAGTATTATCCACATGATCAAAATGAAAACAAATCTGTGGAGGAATCTTTACAGCCCTAACAGGATTGCCTTCGTTTTTCTTTTGATAACTCATCTAAGACCTTTCTTTGGACACCTCTACCAAGTTTCTACGCCCAGCCGTTCTCTCAAACTAGTGGAGACAAAGTTTCCAATTAAATATTTCGATTCCTCCATGTTAATCTTATGGGAGAAAACCCAACTTTGATGGATGATCCTGCCCAAACTAATAAAGATTTCAAAAAATGAAAAACACTTTGCAAAACTACAGATCAGGGCCATTATTTTGACTTTTTAACCATTAAAATCGGTCCAAAAATGAGGGAGGAGTTCTGTTCACAAAAATCGGCTTAGCGTATTATATATATAGATAGATTATTAAATTTGCAGTGATCATACAGCTCACTAAACATACTCAATAACTTTATTTAATTTATAAAGAGGAAAATTACTCTAGGCCTCGGGTAAGATAAGATAAGAGTGGCAAGTGTTGAGCGGCAGACAGCGAGTGGCAACCTAAGCATTACGTAAGCGGCGGTGGTGGCTACGATAGAAGCGGCAATTTTCTTGAGGCTCATCAAATTTACCCTGTTGTAGGTGACAGTGAAGTTTAAGATGGTTGACTGTGCAGACCACTATCTGAAAATCGTCTTTTAAAGAAGAAAAAAACTTAGTTTTGATAAATAGGAGGTGTAGGAGACGATGGGGGTACAACCGATTAACAAGAGGAGAGGAGTGTTTGAAGAATACCACCATTTAACTCTAGGGAAGACAGTCATAGATTCCTTCAAATTACACAAAGATGTCCATCCCCTACTTTTGACTCCATTTTGAGCAGATTGAGGTGGAATATTGAGAAGAGAAGCACAGGTTTACAACAAAACTGAAGCATGATTCATGCAAGCGTGTTTTGGCAAAAAAAAAGACCTTAAGACAATGAGTGGCTCTTTGCGGCGCCGGAGCAGAGAGGGGATCAGGGGTAGGATGGCACAGGCAGCGGCACTCTACTCTACACACAGCTGTAAATACAAGAAACGACTTGACTTTGACCTTGAACAGTCATGTCCGCCACTCCCATCCCTGCAACGTCCCCCCTACCCATCCCACCGGTGTTCTTATAAATATTTTATTAAGAGCCCCTTACATTGTATTGGCTAGAGGCTAAACCATTACAGTATGCAAAAGCAAACTTTTTTGAGAGGTTAAAAAAATTATCTAACAACCGTAATTTTGCCGCCCGGGGTAAACGATATATAAGTGGTATACTTGTAACAATTAGGAGTCGGAGGGAAACTTTTACTTTGGATGTTGAGATTTTGTACAGTAGGTACTAAATTATAAACATTTTGTCACAATAAATTTGACATTTGATTTTTTTTCCAGATGGACTGCATTAAACATTTCATTAGTAAGGAACAAGCATTCAATCATGGATGCAAATCCAAGCTTGAAAACTACTTTACCATCCTTTTGGTAATAGCTGCTGGCTTACTACTTGTGATATTATTACTCTTGGTAAATGCATGTATTAGCTTTTGTATCTTCATGTAAATTATACATATACTATGCCAATGCCGGTTCTGGGACCTTGTCAAGAGGGGGCTACCGTGGAATGTCCAAAACGCCCTAAGAAAGGGGGGGGGGGGTTCAGTGGTCCTCCCCTGGAAAATTTTGTATGGCTGAGTAGCTGAGTGGTTATAGTGCTCGCCTAGCAAGGTTGTCGGATTGATCCTGAGAAGAGTCAGTAGCTTTTTGATGGTTCAAAACCGGACCCAGCTGTTCCTGATCATTGGGATTTGAATAAATGATCCTAGCTAATGAAACTGCTGAACTTAGTCAGTAACAAAGCTACACAGATTATCTCAATCCATTCTACACCCATTCTACACTCATATTTGGTTTAAAATATATACCTGAGAGACGTCCCCATCTCAGTTGATAATGAAAACATTTTTAAAGTCGTTTGTTGACTTTCTAAATCCAAAATATTGGTGGAAAGAGATCTGATATCTACTAATGGATGCCGGCAGAGCGACTGACGGACCTGTGCCGGATGAGTGTAGATAGCGTAACAGGAAATTCATTAAAGAAAACATTTTTTACTGTGATGCAATTGATGTGACGCGCCGGAACTGATGTGTGTGAATCGACCTTTACACTTTTATACAATTTTTCATACTACAACTGAAGTTACTTTTATTAACACTTTAAGCCCTAAGCCTATTTTTAATTTCTCCCCCTAAACAAAGTGTATGAAAAAAGAATTGTTTTAGTCAACAATTTTAAGTTTGAACTTTGGGTGGAAATATTCGTTTTGGGTTCCCCTGAATCAAAAAAAGTGGTTTTTGAAGTGATGTCTGAGTTGTGTGTGCATGTGTGTATGTTTGTGTGTGGTTGTGTTCAGAGCTACAGACTACACCTCGGATTTTGCCGAAGTTTGGTATGTACTAATCCATGGTAACTCCAGGGGTATTTTACTTTTTATGTAATTTAGATTTTTAATGGTGATTTTCCATAAAACCCCATAAAATTACAGGATAATCAGATAATCTTCACAAAAATGGCGAGAACATATTGATTTGATAATTTAGTAGTATGGTCCTTTTAACTCTAAACAAAATATTGCAATGCTGTAAAAACTAGACTATAATCATTTCAATGTAACATTATTCAAAATTTATTGCAATTTTTGTGATTTTACTCATAAAATATCATTCTTACTTCCACCACTATACCTACTCATTATAAGGATTTTGACAAGCTAATGAGAGAAAGTATATGTCAGTTTGCCGACACCGTTAATTTGTTTTATCTGGTAATTATTTTTGAAACTACACTCTGCACAAACTACAAACTAGATACAAAGAGAAAACCTCTGCAACTCGACTGCACCATAATTACTCGCAACTCAAACTGATCCTAGGAGAGGGGTAGGGGGTAAATATTGTTTTGGCGTAGTCCAGGTATATGGCGTGTCAAGTAGATAGCCGGACACAACTGGTATAGCCCATTTAGTACTTTATTTTACAAAATCTTAAGAAGAAAAACTCCGAAAGCGGCCCCTCATACCCTCAACCCTCACGAGGGTTAAGGTTGGTCATTCACACCAGCTGAGCCATACATTAGTAAGCTATAGATTGCACATGTAATCAGTGCACATTTAAATCAGTGCATATGTAGAAAGACCTCAATGTCACACTCGCCAGTGCAACGCCTAAGCCAAATGAGCAACCATGCCACCGTTGGCCAAATCTGACAAATGCCACTATAAAATACACAAGCACACGCAGATTAGATTTGACAAACTGATTCCTGAGCTATACTTGGCCTTAGTGTTTAAAGTGTCAAACTTTGCCATTGATAACAACAAGCTCTTTAGGGATTCTTAATCAATCATCGGGCATAAATCAGTTCTAGTGCCGACATACCCCTGATCCTCTAGTGCACAGAATTCATTTACTTTTGGCGTGTCTTGTACTACTTTGAGAATAATTTTATCTGACCATAATGCACTGTTTATAAATCTACCTAACAAATTGATAAATGACAAAAACAAAAAGGTTTTTTATAAAAGAATTTTTTGTAAAAATGCTATGAACGAATATGTAAAAAGTTTTGAAATTTACAAAAGTCAATTATGTTTGGATAATTGTAATGTTAATGATAGTTACAACCATTTTTTGAGGTATTTTATAGGGCAGTTGAATCATTATTTCCCACTAAAGGCTGTAAAAAAGAAATCTAAGATAAAAACTGTTATATTGGATTGGGTAACAACAGGTATTAAGGTTTCTAGCAAAAGAAAGCGCGAGTTGCATTGGCAAGCCAAAACCAGTACAATCCCAATTTTTCTTAACTATGTAAAGTCTTATAAAAAGATATTTCGTAAAGTTGTAAACAGTTCTAAAAAAAGGTCTAACAGCAAATATATAAATAATGCATTAAATAAACCAAAAGCTATGTGGAAAGTTGTAAATAACGAATTAGGCATTAGAAAAGAGGATAGTTGTGGCAATCATATTTAATTAAAAGTCCCTAATAATGAAATAATTGAAGACCAAAATGTTGTTAACAAAACTTTTAATTCTTTTTTTTAATGTTGTTAATAGCTTAAACTTGCCAAATCCTATTGTAAAGGGTGTCCACCCAAATATGAAAATATCTGTGAATATAAAGGGGTGTTCACTGTATAACTTTGAACCAACAAAAATGAAATTTAAAAAATAATATTTTCTTTGGAAAATAAGACATCGGTGGGTTGGGATGAAGTTCCCATTTCACTCATCAAAGCAGTAGCAAATAAAATTGCTGAACCCCTCTCAGATATAATTAATAAATGTTTTGAATGTGGTATTTTCCCGGAAAAATTGAAATACTCTCATATTACTCCGATATACAAAAAAGGGGCTAGAACTGATATAAATAACTACCGCCCAATATCTGTTTTAAGTAATTTTTCAAAGATATTTGAAAAAGTTATCAATTTCCGGCTAGTAAACTATTTTAACAGCAATGATTTGTTTTATGAAAAACAGTTTGGGTTTAGGAAGACATTCAGCACTAACAGTGCACTGATTGAATTTATCAATGATGTTACAAAGGCTTTGGACAGGTCTGAAACTACTGCTGGTGTTTTCTGTGACCTGTCTAAAGCCTTTGATTGTGTGGATCATTCAATTTTGCTTTCTAAATCAAAAGACTACGGTATAAAGATTAAAAGTTTTTCTTTATTAGACTCTTACTTACAGAACAGAAAGTATAGAACAATAGTGACCAAAAACGGTGTGAAACATATGTCAAACTGGAATTTATCTAATTATGGTGTACCTCAATGGTCAATATTGGGTCCTCTGTTTTTCCTGATCTTTATTAATGACCTTCCAAAAGCTATTGGCAGAGATTTAATCTTATTTGCTGATGATACAACAGCAATCATAAGAGAGGATTCAGTAAATAACTTAATTGTATAAATGGAAAACACTTTGGATTGTATGAAAAATTGGTTTTCAGATAATGGTTTAAAGCTGAATATTGACAAAACTCATATAATCAAATTTTCTTTAAAAAACAATGTAATTCTTGATAAAATTCCAAATTTAGTAGAATCTCATAGATTTTTGGGTGTATTGCTTGATACTCATATTAATTGGAAGATTCACATAGATAAGATGAAAGGTAAACTAAGATCTATTTATTTTGCTTTCTTTCACCTGATAAACTGTGTACCCCAGGATACATGTATCACAGTTTACTATGGATACGTTGAATCCATTTTGAGGTATGGAATCATATTGTGGGGAGTGTCAACAGAAGTCAAATCCCTACTAATTTTACAGAAAAAAATTATTAGAATCTTAACCAAATCAAGAAGGAGAAAATCATGTAAAAACCTGTTTAAAAATCTTAGAATTCACACCATTTTTGGATTATACATAAATGAAATTCTAAATTGGATACATAACACTAAGGAAAATTTGTCAGATGTAGTCAAATTTACACATAATTATAATACAAGGAATAAATATAATTTCAGATTACCACATCACAAATTGACGACTTTTAGGAACAGCCCTCAATATATGGGACTGTACAATGAATTACCCCTGTATCTTAAAAATTTAAATGCTACTCAATTCAAAGACAAAATAATAGATAAAATAATTGAGAAAGCCTACTATTCACTTGACGAATTTTTGGAGAACCCTATAGTGTAGATAAAAATTCTCTGATATCCTACATGAGTTTTTTTTAATTATTTTAACTATTAATTTTATTATAAAATACTTCACTATGAGGAAACACCTGTTCTTATGTATGAAATGTACTTTATAAAGAACGTTTTGTGTAAATAAAATATGTCTTATGTCTAATAACTTTGTTTCAAATTAAGATTGAAGTAGTTGAATGAAGTATTCCAAGCCACTTTAACTACCTTTAAAACATCCTTTATTCACATATGTTCCAGATTTTGGACATCATCATTTCACTTTGGTTGATAAAAAATTACGAAAGAATCATAAATTGCCGAGAGGTTTACTATGTTTTAAAAGGAAATCCTTCAAGAGAGATTAAAAGAGGCAAAAGTTAAGACTGCACAACAAAAAAGTGGGCATTACTTAGGTATACTAAGTAGATGTTTAGTGAATCGTTGTAGTAGCTTATTGTAAATTATGTTACTCATCAAACCTGTTTGAAGTTAAGCGTTTTCTCTACCTTCATGGGAACAAAAAAATACCATAAGCCTCAAAATGTATACACATGGTACTGAACATGAATCTAAATAAAACAACAGATAAAAAAAACTGTCAGTAAGTAATTTGTTTTAGAGGCATTACTGTTGTTAAAACTTAATTTTATGGGACCAAATTTTGAATTGTGGTATTCATTTTATTTTACTTATTTGGTTATTAACACAAGGAAAAAAAAGTTTTTCATATTACTGTATTGTTAATGATCTGTGAAAGCCTTACAAGGCACTATTTCCAAGTTAAAACAACAATAATTAATTACTGTGAACTAATAGCCTAGCATTCAAGTAATTACAAGTGTAAAATGATTTCTCTTCTCTAATTAAACTAAACCTAAGGACACACAGAAGTAAAAGAAGGTATGTCGCAACTAAACAGATTTAGAAGAAATAATATAGCACTCACTGACTATATGTGCACTAAAGCTTGAGTCTCTGCTTTACGCCCTCAAGACTTCCACGCCATAAAGGTGTTTCTTGGTGCCAATTCCGAGTTGAAGGTAACAAGTATTCAAACTTTACTCATATTATATATAGGATTGTTCTGTTGTATGTATACAAAAATAATGTATAAATAAAAAACTTTTTAAGACAAAACGTTTTTAAACGCACTAAAAAGTAGAAAATAATTTAGAAATATGTGGAGAGTATAAATACTTGTAACATTTAAAACGAAAAACGTGGGGTGCATGCAATAGATAATTTACACCTACCTTCACCTATTGAACTAATGTATTATTATCAATTGCATGCACCCCACGTTTTTTGTTTTAAATCTCACAAGTATTTATACTCTCCACATATTTCTAAATTATCTTCTACTTTTTAGTGCGTTTAAAAACGTTTTGTCTTAAAAAGTTTTTTATTTATACATTATTTTCTACTTTTTAGTTTTTAATGTGTGAGGATGTTAAATCTATTTCAAGCATCTATATCAGATTAAGACAGATGCATGTGGGAAATCTAAGGTTTATTTGAGTTTCTTTTCATATAATTATATGTATTAGATTGAATGTATGGCCTACCTACTAACTATAAATATATCAATCTATTTAATTTATTGTCTACTTTTTAGAATAATAAATAAATAACAATTGACATTATTAACAAACGCCTTTATATCTGCAATCAGATTGTTTATCTTTATTTTGAAATGTTTGTATACAGAATCTCTTGGGAGCAAAACCTGTACCTCTTAACCTCT